TCTCTCTCTTTCTCTCTCTATCCCTCGCTGCCTTCCAGTCTTTCTCTCGCCTTCAACGCCAATCAAACCAGAAAACATGCATATAAGCGGACACATCTCTGCAAAATCCGTGCGTTGAACATAAAATCCAGTACTATGTTGAAGGAAAGTATAGTGCGCGGATCGTCAGTTTGATGTTTCGGTGTCTGTGCAAGCGTGGAAAAATTGCAACACATATGCACATTTTTCCATGGGTGACAGGAAGGTGGACACCTTCAGGATTCCAATGCCTGGCATGAGACCCCTGCGAAATTACATTGAACGCCCTTGTGCTGCAGTCGCTAAGTCGCATCGTTTTCCTTCGTCGTTCTATAATTGGAGCTGTTGGTCTATGGCTTTTTTTCACAGCCGTGCTGATTGGCATCCGTGAATGCTGGCGAAATATGCTGTCATAACCGCAACTAAGTGTCCGCGAGTGGTCAGGTCGCTTCACCCACTGCCGAAGGAAACGCACAAGGCACTTACCGCGCATCCTGGTATCGCAAGAAGACCTCTCTCGCCTCTTTGTCTCTCTCTTGTTCTGGGGGGAGACGGATAGTACCGGTACTTGAGTATCGGGTCAGGCGAGTATCTCAATTTCCCATACGTGGCAGCCATGGATGGAAGCTTTGAGATGTCATAGTATCGGCTTCATCGTGCAACGGTGTTTTTTGGGAGAGCTGCTGGAAGACGGGCGCAAGCACGCGGTTTTTGCATCCTGGCCTTAGCTCTCAGGTGCGGATCCAGCAAGCAGGGAGCGAGATTGAGATCGAAGCGCGGACGGATTGGATGGGCCTCTCTGCAGACAAGGAGCGATGGCCTCGAAGCTTGGGATATGCACCCCCCAAACTCCTTAGAAGGTCGTGGTAAGACGTGTTTCAAAAACCTGTTCTCCCTGTTGAAACCCAGCTTGCTGAAAGTTACAACATGCGTGCTCGTGGTACCTGCGAGGAGACGACCCACGTATCCAACTTCGTTGCCGACCCCAACTTCCTTTAATGCCAGCTCAGACGAAAAAGCTGCCTCCATGCTCGTGAAGAGCGCCGAGAGAGGGATCTCGAGGAAGACTGGAAAGGCATTCGCAAATCGAGTCGTTTCCCAAAGTCAGAGACCTCGGATCAACGACTCCATTCGAGCTGCTACGGCGAGGATGATGATGATTATGATAATGATGGTGATGATTTCGACGACCGGCCGTCGTTGTTCTTGCTGTTGTTCCTGACGGGGAGAAGGAGGAGTGGGTGGAGGAGCAGGAGGATTACTGCACCGAGACTCTCTGCCCAGTGCACAAATAGCGCCAGTTAGTCAGTCCTATGTAGGAGCTATCTATCGATACACTCCTTGTTTAAATATATTTGTTGTCGTGGTTGTTGCTGCAGCTTTTGTGATGGCATGGTCGCTGTCGCTGTCGTCATTGTTCGTGTTTCTAGACTGACCACACCAGTGACATATAGCGATATGTGTGGCCAAGCACATTGCACTTTTCCTCTCCTCGTCTGGCGTCACTTATTTCTTCCACTATTCCATAGATGATTGCCTCTGCATGCTGACGGCCGTCTCCATCACTATTGTCATCGTCGTAGTCATCGCCACATCGGAACAATCGCACACATCTGCCATCAGCGAATAAGTGAGGTGGCTATCAAGCCCGTTGGAGCTCCAAGTGCCGCCCCTGCCTGGCCTCCTCTTCCACTTCCGGGGAACACCCCCACCGACCCACACGATGCCGGAGTGATTTATTTCATGCTCCTATGGTGGACAGGTCACAAGCAAGACTCGGCAGCTCAGGACAGATGTCCGTTGCAGTTTCAGGTGAGATGCTCTCCACTTCGACTGTTTCAAGACGGTCAACGAGCGTCCCTAGGTGGTCGTAACAACGTATCATTATAGGCAGAGGGGCCCAGATAGTCATTGAAGATGGTGCCATCAAGATGATGACGTTCAGTCGTGTCTCACCACAAGCACAATCGTGATCATCATCATCATCACCATCATCATCATCGTCATCATCATCATTATCATCCTCGTCATCATCATCATCATCATCATCAGCATCATCGCCATCATCATCATCATCATCGTCATCGTCATCGTCATCGCCATCGCCATCGCCATCGCCATCGCGATCATCTTCATCACCATCATCATCATCATCACCATCATCATAATCATCATCACCATCATCGTCATCACCATCATCATCCTCCTCATCATCATCATGATCATCATTATCAGCATCATGACTCTCACCACCATCACCATCACCATCACCATCACCATCACCATCATCATCATCATCGTCACCGTCGTCATCATCAGTTTCACCATCATCATCATCATCACATTCATCTTCATCTTCTTCTTCATCATCATTGCCATCGTCATCGTCACGGTTTTCATATTCTTAATCATCATCATCATCATCATCATCATCGCGTAAGCAATACAATGCCATTAGCAGCATCATCGAAATAATTCCCATCATTGTTACCACCGTTGTCGGTCATGATTGTCCTCATAGCAATACGCATAATAGTAATGGCACTTGTCAATATTGGTATGAATGCAGTAGTCGTCGTCGTTGTCGTCGTCGTCATCGTCATCGTCGTCATCGTCATCGTCGTCAGCTCGGCATCGCCATTACACCAATGTTGTCATCATCGTTATCATTCTGCTGCAGGACCTTCCGGGTGCAGTCGATGGGGCAGTGAGGGAGACCAGGACGAGGGTTTGTGCAGTTGCAGGTCGCAGCGGCAGCAGACCGAAGCCTTACTTTGTCCCGCGCGCTCCGCGCTGCCTTAGAGCCTCTGCCAGGAGCGACAGCGCCGATGAAGCGCAGGTCACATATCCGCCCTCGCCGCCTTCTCCGGCATCACCAGCTCCGTGGGACGAGGACTTGATTGAACTTGACCAAGAGAGCAAGGCCGTTTGGTAGGATGCCAAAACCACAAGATCAAGGGCAGAGTTGATACGAAAGCGGAGGGACTATGAAAACCAAAATCGACCTCAAAGCCAGTAAAATCGCGAGTCTGAACTGTTTTCGGAATCGGGTCCACCTGGCATGTCGAGTTCAGGTTTGCTCGCAATGGACTGAGACAGCTCCATCTGTTGATGTTCGCTGCATGTGGGAGACACAAGAATGTTGGCAGGACACGATGATCATACACCATGTGCTCCCAGGCGTCGCTGGAACTAGTGCCTGGGCTTTGTACCTCCTCAGCCTGCAGGGCGAAGCAATTAGCCGTCAGTGTCGAGTGTGTGCTGAGGTGGTCCAGCTGCTGCCAGCCTCGACAGTGTCGCAGAGCAGGTGCAGGCACGAGGGACATTCGACGAAGTGGGGAAAACGGCGTCAAGCTTCGCAGGCGCAGCCTTGCTTATTTATGCTGTACCATCGGTGGAAAACATTGCACTTATCCACTCCTGCTGTTCGAAACGAATGACCTTGTGCACAGGAGCTGGACGAGGTGCCTGGCGAAGTTCCCGAAACCAGAGGGATGGGTGGAAGAAGCATGTCAGGAAGCAGTGTTCGCTTCCAGCAAGAGCCAGATGTAGTGCACTTCGACACAGACTCACCTGCCAGAGAAGATCGTTTGGCCATTGCTGCTCCCGAAGCCGTGGCAGCCCCGCCTGTGACAGCCGTGACACCACCTGCAGCTGAAGCAGAAGCGCAGGTGCCGGAGGCATCGATTGAGCCTGCAGCTAAAGCAGAAGCGCAGGATCCGGAGGCCACGGTTGAGCCTGCAGCCGAAGCAGAAGCACAAGATCCGGAGACCGTGATTGAGCCTGAACCGGCCCAACTCCTTGTGCCAGAGCCAGGCATCACAGACACTCCACAGCCTTTGGCAGACGCCGCTCGGGAAAAGGTGGCTGCAAATCTTCCGGCCGCAGAAGGCACCGACACACCTCCGAAAATGGAGGTTGAAGTTGTGGAGACACAGCCTTCTGCCAAAGAGGCTGCCGGCCTGATGAGAGAAGCGCCCAAAGAGGCTGGGGATGCAGAGGCTGAGATCGCCAAACCCAGCCTTGCAGCAGCCGCGGGGCTGGCGACTGCAAAGACCCCGTGCCGCGGCCGCATGGACGTGCGAGATTGTAGGCTTCCTTCTCTCAGAGCATGCGTGACAGCGCCAGTTTGGGCATGCATGAGGCCGAAAAGTCTGACTGGTTACTTTCCCAAACACATCGGATCAGGAAAGCCGAAGGCGAGAAGCCAATTTCTGGCAAAGCGCCGAAAGCAGGCATGACAGCACAGGCAGAGGATCTAAGAGTCTAAGAAAGGTTTGCTTTGTTCCACTTCTCCAAATCGTGATTTGTCCGCCGTTGTGCTGGGATGAGCATGCGCACTTGCTGCAGTGTTGAGCACTGTCTGGTTTGCCACAACACCCGCTTCTCCAGAACCCATCCGTGCCAATTAGGTGATGCCTCGACAAGTAACACGGTCACTGTGGTCTAGGGGGGCATTTCAATTGCGGGCTCACACGCCGAGAGACATCTGCGGGTTTGCAGCATTGTTGAATACCCTCATGCTCGCGAAACCTTGACCTGCTCCAGACCGTGCACTCCGCAGCGAAGCGGCGGCCGGCTCCCAAGGCACGACACAAGGATGACGTTTCAAGTGACTAACTTCATCAAGTTTACAATTCTTCGACTCACCGAACAAGATTTTCAGCGGATTGCAGTCCCACAAGGAGGGTCTGCTGCGTTTGTGGCTGGGGCAATCAGTGTCTTTACGGAAGCCCCAAACCATGACACAGATGTGTGACTCCAAGCTAGCTAATCTCGAGCTTTGCTGGTACTCGCAAGCTCTCTTGGGAGGCAGCATCTGTGCCCAAAACAGCGCCACACCCGAAGAAGGAGGTGGCTGCAAAGCCAACGCCACCGGCGCCGAAAGCAGCGCCGCCCGCGGCGAAGGCCACGCAGTCCACCGGAAAGGCAGCTTCAGCCAAGCCCAAAGCGGCACAGCCCGAGCCCTAGATGCCAGTCGTGGCCCTCTACAGTCCCATGCATTCTTCCATGTCCAGGCAAGTCTATCCTGTAGTCCGTAGGCATGGCTGCATGGCGAGACCTACAGTCTCGGTCCGGTCATTCACCTGCGCTCCTCAGGCATCGTGCACGAAGTCACGACGAGCGCCAACAAAGGCAGCCTGGCAGTCGACGGCACAGTGCCGAGGCTGCTGGTGATTTCGCTCTGATGCTCGGGGAAGCTCCAGAAAGACAGAATCGCCTTTGGAATGCTGCAGTGATCATGCAAAAAGACTCTGACATAAATGTTCTCCGATTACATCAACCCCGAAAAAGCATCAGCCAGGGGACACTGGACCCTGTAGAGAAATCGTGTTGGAATTCGCTGGCTGGCAGTGTAAATGGCTTGACTGTTTGCGGATCTAGGGAAAGGTTGTTTTTGCCACAGTGAGGAAGAAGAGCCTCCGATCAGTTCGAAGGCTGCTCCATGCACTCATGTGCTCCGTCCGGACACCACGCAAAGCCTAGAGTCCCAGAGCGATAAACGAGACGAGCCTGCAGTGGCCGGCATCTGTCAAAATGTCATCCATCAGGTGCCATTGTTGTCATCTGCCAATTCATCTGCAGGTACCATCCGTGAATTGTCATCTGCAAATGCCAGGTGATCTGTCAGTTCTTATCTGTGCCATTTATCAGGTCTGTTCGTGATCTGTCAGGTCTGCTGGCCCCTTGTGAGGTGCCAATTGTCATCGGTTGGTCAATATCAGGTCTCTCTCATATGCAGGGAACCTTGGTGCTCTTGGTCAGTGCCAGTGCCGAGATTCTACCGGTATCTTATCATCTGTCATGTTGTGCTTTGTTAGGTGGTCTGTTGGTGCCAGTTGTCAGGTGCCAACTTTTGTCAACCGGAGGTGCCAATGTCAGATCCATCTGTAGGTGCCATTGTCACCTCAAATATCATCGGCAGGTGCCAATAGTTTAATATCAGCAGGTACCATCTCAAATCTCATCTGCAGGTTCCATCTGTTAGATGTGATTTTACTCTCTCTGTCAGCTGTCTCAACTGACAGTTGCAGGAGCATCCGTCGTAGGTTCCATCTGTCAGATGTAATCTGTCGGTCCATTTGCTAGATGCCTTCTGTCAATTGTCATCGGAACCTCATCAATCTTGTCCCACTCGTGCTTCTGCCTCCGATTCTGGTTTCCCCGCCACAGTCCTGTGCGTTTCCGCCTCCCCAAATCGTGGTCGCGGTGCCTTGCAGTTCTGGGGTGCCCATCTTGCCCAGAGGAGCCGAATTGTCGTGGCTCTTGCTACTTCGAGCGATTTGAAGGCCGAAATGAGCACTCGACTTCCGCACGGAAACACCCCAAAGTATGCATGGCACACCACGTCTGTGGCGGGCGCCAAAGCATTGGATTCTAAGATGGATTCGGCGGGGCAGTGGACATGTGCACTGTGCCATAGAGGGAGGCGCAGCACCGGGATGGACCGGCCTAATCCCTGTACTACAGTGAACGTACGAGTAAGTGGGACACACTGCCACAAGCACCAAGACGAAGCTGGCCTGTCGTACTTGGGAAGCACATCCTGCCATGAGATGAGTCATGGAGCTGTGATCTGTTCTTGGCTGTGGGCACCTCACAGACAGGAAGACCAAACCCCAAAAGGTCTGGGGTGTAACAGCGGAGTCTTTTTCCGAAACCAAGTCAAGACGGAAAGGTGTCGAAAGCGACGTCAGACGCACTGTCTGCGGCGGTGCAGGCATCCGGCGCTGCACCCTGTAGATACATGTGTGGCAAAGCCCTGCAGTTTGTAGCAACGTGCATCTGTTCTTGCTCGCGTAGCTTTCGCTGGTCACTCTCCGGCCTCCTTCGCAACACTCTATTCGGTAGATTAGTTTCCATGATGCCTGTAGCACTCATTGCACTGATATCTAGATTAGTGCCACCATGGAACAGTAGGAGTCTACACGTACTTTCAAGGACGCTTGGACATTGACATACTAGGTGCTAAGCTTTGCAATCCCTGGCATGCCAATAGACTAGCTAGTTCAACTTGTAGCAAAAAGTTGGGATCGGGTGTTGATGCTGATGGTGTTGCTTACCTTGTGCTTTCTGGTGATAAAGCCAGTGTGTGGTGGTGGTGGGTGCTGTGGTGGCGGTGCTGCTGCTGCGGCGGCAGCTGCTGCTTGGTGATAGTGATGAAGATGGTGATGATGATGATGACGATATATCGTGATGATGATGAGGATGATGATGATGATGGTGCTGAAGGTAAATCTGGTGGTAGCGTTGATGATATACTTAACGCTGACGGCAGCGACAACAGAGGCCACGACAGCGACGACATCGACGTCGACAATCTGTCGACAACGAAAGCGACGTGACAGTGATGCCGACCCGCACGACCTCCGCAGCGATCCGACACCGCCGCGGAGTGCAATGAAGACAACAACTAATGGGAATGAAAGCGATGATTCGCTTGAAGATGATTTCAAGCATCATTGCCGTCATCATGATCAGGCTTGGTGATCGCAGCAGTGTGTCCAGCCTCGTGGTCAGGAGAAGCCGAAACCAGCATGGGGGGGAAGTGGCAAGCTCGTGGCAAGGCGCAGCGTGGTCAGCGATAAGATACTCGCCGTGACTGGAAGATAATGGAGGTGAGCAATGGCTGTACTTCTGCGATAGTAGTGACTCGTACCGATATCAGAGCTGAGACCCTCGTATTGTGAAGCTGGAGTGGCAGATGGTACCGAGGGAGGAGTAGTGACAGTACTACTGCCACTGCCACTGCTACCTACTGCTACTGCTGCCGCTGCTGCTGCTGCTGCTGCTGCTACTACTACTACTACTACTAATTACTACTACTTCCTACTCCTCCTCCTCCTACTACTCC